ATTAGCAATTCTGAAACTATTTTATTTGCAAACTAGGGTCATAGATAGTGAGAGACAAGGTTTCTCACTGTCAGAGAAAGAAGTTACAAATAAGAAAAAAAGGAAGGCTAGAATGAACCCAGTGGTACTGGACTGAAGTCAGAGTTATCGATATAGACTCAGCTTTTTTTGGTTGGTTGTTTTTTAATATAGATACATCAATGGATAGAGAAAGAAATAAATATAGATGCGTACGTACAAGTTAGTTTCCTAGCTGGCACAAATGGTTTGTGTCTGACTGCTCTCCTAAAGATTGTCTGTTTGAACCCACCCAGCAGTACTGTGGAAAATAGGCCTAGTGTTCTGCTTTCATAAAGATTATAGCCAAGAAAACCCTATGGAGCAGAGTTCTACTCTGTAACACATGGGGTCGCCATGATTCAGAATTGACTCAATGATAACTAACAACAACAACATGCACAAGTTAGTATATATGCATGTATTTCCGAGCTGTAGTCATTGAAAGGAACTGGAATCAGTGACACCCAGTAGCAATGAGAGTACCTAACACCCAGAACATGATTTCTAAATACCAGTCAAAAGAACCACGATTTCTTGAAAAACTGGTTGATTTCCAGGACTGGAGCAGGCATAATACATGATGAACCTAGAACATCTGCCTTGTGACTCCAGAAAGTAAGGAATTGCTTCAAAGAAAAAAATGTAAAAAGGAAGGAGCATATATAAAGGGTGTAAGAAACCCAAAAACCAAACCCATTGCCATCGAGTTGATTCCAACTCATCGCGAACCTATAAGATAGAGTAGAACTGCCCCATAGAGTTTCCAAAGGAGCGGCTGGTGTATTCAAACTGCCGACCTTTCTGTTACCAGCCAGCTCTTAACCACTGTACCACCAGGGCTCCATAGAACAATAAGATATATATATATGTATATCCTACAACATGCATATTACTATGATTTGTGTGTGGGTATGTGTGTGTGTAAAAGACAGGTGTTAAATACATAATCCAAAAACCAAAGCCATTGCTGTCATGTAAATTTAGACTCATAGCAACCCTATAGGACAGAGTAGAACTGCCCTATATGGTTTCTAAGGAGTGGCTGCTGCATTTGAACTGCTGACCATTTGATTAGCAGCGGAGCTCTTAACCACCTTGCTGCCAGGGTTTCAAATACAGAATACCTGCATTTAAATTGTTTAACATCTACAGAAGAAAATAATTATTGCAGTTCTTTTATGCAATGTAGAAAGCATTTGATGCTATGATAAAGATACAAATCTAGGGCTCTAATAACACAGAGGAAGAAGAAAATATTTTCTGCTGGAAAGATTATAGAAGGATCTCTATGTAAAAAATTAGAATGGCTAAAATCCAAAACACTGACAACACCAAATACTGGTGAGGATGTAGCAACAATAATTCTCATTTATTACTGGTGGGAATGCAAAGTGGCACATCCCCTTGGGAAGACAGTCTGGCAGATTTTTATGCAACTAAACATAGGCTTACCCATACAATCAGGCAATTGCACTCCTAGTTATTTACTCAAATTAGTTGAAAATTATACCCATGCAACAACCCGCACACGAATGTTATAACAGCTTTATTCATAATTGCCAAAATTGGAAGCAACAAAAATATCCTTTAATAGGTGAATGGATAAACTAATTGTGGTACATCCATACAGTGGAGTATTATTTAGCAATAAAAAGAAATGAGCTATTAAGCTATGAAAAGACAAGGAGAACCCTTAAATGCATAATGCTAAGTGAAAGAAGCCAATGTGTAAAAGCTACATACTGTATGATTCCAACTCTATGATTTTCTAGAAAAGGCAAAATTATAAGGACAGTAAAAACATCAGTGGTTGCCAGGAGTTTGAGTGAGAAAAGAACAGATGGAATACAAGGCATTTTGAGGGTAGTGAAACTATTATGCATGATGCTGTAATGGTAGATACATGACATTATATATTTCTTAAAGCCCATTCCTGTTACTGTAGAGTAGATTCTGACTCATAGTCACCCTATAGGACAGAGTAGGGTTTCCAAGGCTGTAAATCTTTCTGGAAGCAGACTGCTACATCTTTCTCCCATAGGGCTGCTGGTAGGTTTTAACCGCCAACCTTTTGGTTAGCAGCTGAGTGCTTAACCACTGTGCCACCAGGGCTGCTATTAAAGCCCATAGGATTATACAATACAAAGAATGAACCCTAATGTAAACTATGAACTTTATTTAATAATAATATGTCAATACTGTTTCATCAGTTGCTACAAATGTACCAGACTAATGCATGATATTAATATTAGGAAACTGTTTGTGTGTGTCGCGGATGGGGTGGGTTCTTATATGGGAACTCTGCTGTATTTTCTGTAAATCTAAAATTACTCTAAAAAATAAATTCTATTAAAGAAAAACCTAAAAAGGATGAGTTCATCAATAGAAAATAAAATATAAAAATGAGAAAGTCATAACTTTGGAAATTAAACAGCTTGTTCATAATTTTGGATTTCTTTACTATAGGTGGATTTAAGGAACATAAACTCCTGCTTTTAGCTTGAAAAATAAATAATCAGCTCTTTATCGTGAGGAGGGGATAGTATTCAAGCAACTTGCTTCTCTTCCTTCATGTGGTGCTTCAAAGTCTCTTGATTTCTTCATAGATCACTAGAATTCCCATGACCACTGAGGGGGTATGAATAAAGAGAAAGTTTCTGTATCTAGAAAGTATCTTTGGAGTAGGCCAACATTATAGATGAATTGAAGGAATAGATTTACTGTGACACTAGTAAAGCTTTTAGGGCTCCTCATTTGCATGAGACACTTATAAGGCGCTAAAACAGACCCTAGCTACATATTCGTGGTCAAATGTTTTTGCAAATTTTGCAAAAGTAAGTTACTTTACCGTCCATCTGTTAAGTCTGCCGTCTCTTTCCACTCAGATTTTCTCTCCCTCATGCTTCCCCTCTTGTTGGGTGATGTTGAAGAGGCTATAGGCTTCTTTGGATCCAGTGGAGAGGCTACAGAGCTACAGGCATATTTTTGGAAGTAGAGTTAGGAATGCATTTAGTTTGTGCTTAGTGGGACATGCATAGATGGTTTTTAGTCACTGCTGTGTATTGTTGGTATTGCTGGCCACCCAGGTTTTAGCAGAAATGCAGTACATTGCATTCCAATGCCATGGTGATTTTCCTTCTGCATTTAGTTTAAATTAATACAGGAACCGATTCTATTCAGAAGACTGAGCCTCAGTGTTACCTTCCTTTCAGACTAAAAAGTTTATTTTTATGGGGAAATAAATCAAAGTTAAAAGTCCATCTTCCTTTGTTTCATCATTGGAAATGCTTCTTATAGGGAAAATAATAATCACACATAATTTTCACTGATTTCTTACCAGTTTTAACTACTTTCAACTCCATTTTGTAACAGAAGACACTGAGACATAGAGAAGTTAAATAAGTTTCCCAGTGCCTCACAGAGCTGAAGTCAGGAACTCGGATTACAATCAGTAACTTAAGCCACAAGGAAATATTGGCTCTCCATCTTCGGCTAAGAATGAGAAGACCCTAGGTGTATCTTTGGGATCTTAGGCCAAGCAGTTAACTTCTCTTGTCCTCAGTTTTCTCATGAGATAAACAAAGGTGGACTAGAAGTCAATGTTCTTAACTTTTGAGTGTTGTCATAACCCTTAGAGACAAGGCAGAAAGCTATAACCCCTTTCTATGAAGTAAAACAGAAGCACTTACCCAATTTATGTATATCCATGGACACTCTGAAGCCCTTTACTTGGCCCTACATTAAAATTTATTGGACTAGGAAATCTTTACATTTCTTACAGATCGAATATTCTGCTGTTTTAAGAAAAGCTGACCTAGTTTATTGATGATGTTTTCAAAGGGCAAGAGATTATAACTATAGCAATCCAGCGATTGCTCCCTATATGCCTTATTGATGGGTTGATTTGGTCATGATCTGTTTCTTGTAACTGTGTGTTCTCTTTGTGCTGATGGAGTCTTTCACTTGAAGACAGTTTTTTTTAAAAAAGAATTTTTTCAGGTACGTCTGGATTGAACGACCTAAAGAAAAGTATGGCATTTAACTGAAGCTTATAAAATAATTTGTTTTCCCAGGAAATGAGATCTGAAAAACAGCCAATATGTCAATACCAAAATCAATTTGAAAAGGATCTACTATGAAATTAGATTTCTCAGATAATATGTAGCTTAACAAGAGGGCATTCACTTTACCTTCCTTGTTATGGGAATAGTATCCATCAGAATGTAAAAATAATGGCATATTTGAAGCCATAAACTTACTATCAAACTTTATGGCTTTAAGATCAAAGGATCGAGTTTCAATTTAAATGTATGGATTGTTTCATTATAAAAACAAAGTAACTCACTAGAAAATAGATTAAGAGACCTTTTGTGTATTCTTCCTATATCACATAAGGAAATTATAAAAGTGTGCCCTTAAAATTGTATTAGAATTAGTATACACAAGCAGGAAACTACTCTGTACCAATTTAAAAAAAAAAAAAAATTGTGCTGTTCTTCGTTCAGTTGAAATGCTTCAATATTTTGGCTATTTTCTCTGTAAATTTTGGTTGATAGTTTGTTCATTATGGTTAGATTTCAATATGATTGCAAATTAGATGATGTAAAACTCAATAAAGTAAAATACACAAAAGACCAATTAACATGTTATCTCAGTAAGTATACAGAAGAATGAGAGAACATACTGTTCTACACAATAGCATGTAATTAAGATGTAGTCATAAATCTGAGAAATATTGTAACTTGTTTAGGTGCACAGGTGGCTTTTAGAAAGATTGAATAGCTTCTCTTGCCCCCTTGAGATGCGAGTTTGTAGTTATTCCCGCAAAATTAAACAGAATAATTTCTCAAGCCTCTGACAGTGTGGATGCTTCAGTGCAAACAGCATGCCTGAGATGTATGTTTGGGAAGTATTCATTTCCTTGTCCATTCCTGTTCCAGATGCTCTCTATGATGTCATCACTGTGGGAGCCCCAGCTGCCCATTTTCAGGGATTTAAGAATGGTGGTCTTCGGAAACTACTCCATAGATTTGAAACAGAAAGACGAAAGTAAGTAACGAAGGGAAGAAAACACACATTGCATTAAAGATATTATCTTTCCTTCGGGGAGAGTCTGTATTCAAGGTTAAGATAAAGAAGCTTGGTCCATCACGATGAAGCGTTTTTGATCTCTCATACCCATTTAATAACTTAAAGTTGAATTTTCCAAAACTACTTGAGCAGAGATTAAATTAGAATAAATGAAATGCCTGAGTATGTTGCTGATAGAGTACCACTGTGCTAACAGAACATTTTCCTGGAATCCTTGCTACTAAGAAAGAGATGATATTCTAGTATCAATCATTGTTCACTCAATGGAATGGTGTTCAGACAGAGATTTAGCTGAACACACAGTCTGATTCAATTGTTGAACCAAAGATACTTAACAGAGACCATGGGTCCTAACTTATGTCTCTGACCCTGCTAGTGATTTCCACTGAGACCTGAGGCAAGATACATAATTCCCCACCACGTAATTGTGCCATTTGAAGAAGAGGCATCAATATAGAACTATCAGCTACGTGATGAAATTAAATGAGACAGCTTTCTATTTCTTAGGGAAAAAGCATGGCACAAAAACCAAACTGTTGTAATTGTTATTTACTTCGTTGTGTACTTTTTCCATTATGATTTTTAGCTTCTTTTAAACACTATTTCATAAAGCTTTTGCATCAGTATTTTACCCCCTTTCCCACACCCCACCTCGGTGATCTTATGCTGTAACATGCTCTGGCTATGATCACACTCATGTAAACCATAAACAGCATTGTCAAAGAGTGAAGGATAACTTACCTTCCTTTTTAACTTGTTACTGTTCTTGGATTAAGAAGCTGAATTTTGAAAGTTAGGAAAAATATTCTTTAGTCATAGTAGGTTTAGTAATAGTATTAGGAGATTGATCTGAGTGGTAAAACAAGAACTTATTTTTTTTCTTCTAAGTTTTATCACATTTGCTATTTGGTACCCAGATGTTCAGGAAGAAAGCATTTAAAGTAAGTTAGAACTGAGTAACTTACATACTATTATATCATCCTATAAAACCAAAATCCAAACCTGTTGCAATCGAGTTGATTTTGATTCTGGCAACTCCATGTGTTACAGAATAGAGCTATGCTCCATAGAGTTTTCAAGGCTGTGAACTTTTGGAAGCAGATTGACAGGCCTTTCTTCCAAGGCTATGCTGAGTGTGTTAGAACTGCCAACCTTTCAGTTAGTAGTCAAGCGCTTAACCATTTGGGCCCTATAAATATATAATTTAATGATATATACATATGGAGCCCTGGTGGTGCACAGGTTAAGAGCTATACCTGCTAACCAAAAGTTTGGCAATTTGAATCCACCAGCTGCTCATTGAAAATTTGACATTGATACAATATTATTAACTCAGTTACAGAACTTATTCAGATTTTTCCATTTCTTTTTTTCTTGCTTTTCTTGAGGGGGGAGTGGAAAGAGTATATAGTTCTATGAAATGTATCACATATGTAGATTAAAGTAACTATCACCACAGTCATAGAGCCCTGATTGTGCAATGGTGAAGTACGTGGCTGCTAACCAAAAGGTAGGTGATTTGAACTCACCAGTGGCTCCGTGGGAGAAAAGACCTGGTGATCTGTTCGCATAAAGATTACAGCCTAGGAAATCCTATGAGGCAATTCTACTCTGTCATACAGAGTCACTATGAGTCAGAATCAACTCAACGGCACGCAACAACAACATCACCACAGTCGTGATACAGAACTTCCATAACCATGAAGAAACTCTCTCATGTTACCCCTTAATAGTCACACCCTTCCCCTAAACCTAACCCCTGCAACCACTGTTCTGTTCTCTACCACTGTAATTTTGTTATATAAATGGATCATTCCGTAAAGAACAATTTGAGATTGACTTTTTTTCACTCAGCATAATGCCCTTGAGGTCCATCCAAGTTGGATGTATTAATAGTTCTTTTCCTTTATATTGCTAAATAGTATTCTATGTATGGATATACCACACTTTGTTTATCCAATCACCAATTAAAAGGACATTTCGGCTGTTTCTAGGAAATTTTGGGCTATTGCAAATAAAGCTGTTATAATAATTTGTGCACAGATTTTCATGTTAATATAAGTATTCATTTTTCCAGAGTTGCTAGGTTGCTAGGTTGTATGACAAATGTATGTTTAATTTTATTACAGACAGAGTGGTTGTGTCATTTTACATTCTCACCAGCAATGCATGAGAAATGTACTTGCTCTACATACTCATCAGCAGTTCATATTATACATATTTTTTATTTTATTTATTTTAGCCATTCTAATAGAGTTGCAGTAGTGTTTCATCATAGCTGTAGTTTGCACTTCTCTAATGGCTAATGATGTTGATCCTCTTTTCATGTGCTTTATTGCTATCTGTATATACTCTGATAAAATGTCTGTTCATACCTTTTGCCCATTTCTAATTAATTGTTTTTTATTGTTGAATCTTGAGAGTTAGTTATATATTCTAGCTATGTATCCTTTGTCAGAAAGATGATTTGTAATTATGTTCAAGATTAGGTCAACATTTGAAACCAGTCAATGAAATCCACCATATAAACAGGCTAAAGAAGCAATTGTTCATTCCTAGCTTATAGAAGCACTATTGATTTTGGTGTGCTCATCTTTATCCTGTGCTCATTATTTGTTAATTCTAGGATAATTTTTGTAGATTTAGGGGAATTTTCCATGTAGATAATGATCCATATGCAAATAGGTAGTGTTATTTTTCTTTCCTCAATATCTATTCTGTTTACTTTCTTTTCTAACCTTATTACACTGACTAAAACTTCCAGCACTATGCTGAATTGGAGTAGTACAGCAGACATTTTTTGCTTGGTTCCCCATTTTAGGATGAAAGCATTTAGTCTTTTACCATTAAGTATGATGTTAGCTCTAGGTTTTTTGTTTTGTTTTTGTTTTAGTTTTAGATGCTCTTTAACAGATTGGCCGTAGTTTTTATTTTTATTTTTATTTTTTGTACTGTCTTTGTTTTTTATATAAGGGTAATGCCTATCTCATAAAATTATTTGGGAAGTATCTCCTCCTCTTTATTTTTTGGAAAAGTTTTGTAGAATTGGCATTATTTCTTCTTTAAATGCTTTGTAGAATTAGTTAAAATATCTGGACCTGGAGTGTTCTTTCTCAGAAAGTTTTTAATTATGAATTCAATATCTTTAATAGTCATAGGTCTATTCAGATTACTATTTAATCTTGAGTGAATTTTTGATAGTTTGTGGAAGGATTTTTGCTAAGTTGCTAAGTGTGTGGTTTTTGAGGAAGTAATCCATTCAATCTGAATATCAAATCTCTATGTTCATAGTGGAGCCCTGGCGGTACAGTGATTAAGAGCTCAGCTACTAACCAAGAGGTTGGCAGTTTGAATCCACCAGCCACTCCTTGGGAATGCTATGGGGCAGTTCTACTCTGTCCAATAGGGTCACTGTGAGTTGGAATTGAGTCAACAGCAATGGGCAACAGCTGTGTTCACAGTATTCTGTTATTATCTTTTTAATATTGTGAGGTTTTGATAGTTACAGCTCCTCTCTGTCCTAATATTGCTAACTTTGGTTGTTTGTTTGGTTTTTGTTTTGTTCTGGTTTCCTTTGTTGCTTGTCAATCTTATTAGAGGTTTATCAATTTTACTGGTCTTCTTAAAAAAACAACTTTTGGTTTAACTTTCTTTTTTTTTCAATTATATTAAATTATTCTTTTATCTTTATTATTACTTTCCTTCATATGGTTTTGGCTTTATTTTACTCTTTTTTTTTTTTCTAGTTTCTAGGTTGGGGACTTAGATTATTGATTTGAAACTTCTTTTATTTTTTTAACTTGAATATTTAACTCTATAAATTCCCCCGTAAGCACTGCTTTAGCTGCATCCCACAGATTTTTATGCATTGTATTTTTATTTTTATTAGTTAAATATAGTTTTTCTATTTTCCTTGATACTTCCTTTTTATCCCATGGATTATTTAAAAGTGTGCTGTTTAATTTCCAAGTCCTTGGAGATTTTCCTGTTATCTTTCTGTTACTGATTACAGTTTGATTTCATTATGATCAGACAACATACTTTCTAAATTAGGTTATCCATAATTTGTTATGAACCACACTGTTAAATGCCTTTCCATAGTCACTAAAACACAGTTGAACATCTTTCTGATATTCTCTGCCTTTGGCCAAGATCCATGTGACATTAGCAGTGATATCCCTTGTTCCCTGTCCTCTTCTGAATTCAGCTTGAACTTCTGTCAATGTACTGCTGCAACTGCTTTTGAATGATCTTCAGCAAAATTTTACTTGTGTGTGATATTAAAGATATTGTTTGATAATTTCTGCATTCTGTTGGATCACCTTTCTTTGGAATGGGCACAAATTTGGATCTCTTCCAGTCAATTGGTCAGGTAGCAGTCTCCCAAATTTATTGGCATAGACAAATGAGCACTTCCAGTGCTGCATCCATTTGTTGAAACATCTCAACTGGAATTCTGTCAATTCCTGGGGGCTTGTTTTCTGCCATCCCCTTCAGTGCAGCTTGGACTTCTTCCTTCAATACCATCAGTTCTTGATCATATGCTGCCTCCTGAAATGGTTGAATGTCAACCACTTCTTTCTGGTACGGTGATTCTGCATTCCTTCCATCTTCTTTTGATGCTTCCCGCGTCATTCAATATTTTCTCTGCAGAATCCTTCAATATTGCAACTCAAGGCTTGAATTTTTTCTTCAGTTCTTTCAGCTTGAGAAATGCTGAGTGTTTTCTTCCCTTTTGGTTTTCTAACTCCAGGTCTTTGCACATATCATTATAATACTTTAAACTTTGTCTTCTTGAACCGCCCTTTGAAATCTTCTGTTCAGCTCTTTTACTTCATTATTTCTTTCTTTCACTTTAAGTACTCTACATTCAGGAACAAGTTTCAGAGTCTCTCCAGACATCCACTTTGGCCTTTTCTTTCTTTCTTGCCTTTTTAATGACCTTTTCCTTTCTTCAT